TGGGTGGATGGATGGATGGATGGATGGATGGATGGATGGATGGATGGATGGATGGATGGATGATGGATGGATGGATGGATGGATGGATGGATTGTTCACATGATTTTTTTAAAGTTAAAAGTCTGTTTTTGTACATTTGAAAAAAGAAATAAGTCCACGTGTCTTGTTCTCTCTCAGGCTTTGGTGAACTGTTTGGAGATGTTGGAAGACAACGACCTGGATGCCAGAGTTTGTGGATGTAAAGCATTAGCATGTCTAAAGGTAACAAACACTGGACCTGGTGTTCATTGTCAAGACCTGCTTGTTAACATAAATATCTGAATATATATTTTTGTTTCTGAAGTCACTTGAAAACAAAGAAAAACATGGTTGTTTACTGAGGATAGCTTTCATTTAAAAATCTACTTTCATGGATTATGTCTGTTTAGAACTGAAATCCTAATACACAGGACGTCCTGCTGCATTCACTGTACCTTAAAAATGAATTTGTATTTTTAGGAATGATTTACTTTTAAAAGCTAATTTATATTAGCTGCTGAATAGTTTACTTATCACAAAAGTGACAGAATAAACACAATAAGGTTTTTGCAGCATTAACCAAAATAACTTCTTAAAAGAAAAAGAAAAGTACATGATTGTTTTGAGGTAAATATAGGCTTAACTGATCATCACTGCAACATGTTTATCCATGTCTCTGGGCTGTGACTGTTGTTGGCCCTGTCACAGTAAATGTTTTAGACAACTTGTGCCAACTTATGTAGATTTTTCATGACTAAGTAATTTATAAATGTTATATATTTGACCTAATTGTTAGCATTGCAGTGTTCATACAACTAAAAGTGGCTTCCAGTTGATTTTTTTATTCCATCTTCAACATAGGCATCTTCAAGGTCAGACACATTTTTCATAAGTCAAAAATAAAGTTTTAGTGTGACGGAGCCTTAAACAACATTCATGAGAGAGTCTCTAAAATGCCTCAAAACATTTGTGGGGGTTCTCAGTTTCCTTGGTTGAACTGCAGAGTCCTGTTTGAATTGTGAAGATGTTTTAAAAACCCAGAGTCACAGAGTTGTCTCAGGCATTTCAAAGATGCACAGGACCTCTCTGACAGAAAACAGATTCTGGTCTGAAAACGTTGACAATGAAAAACATTTAAAAAAAGATTGGTTCCAAATCTGCCTGTTCTTCATTTTTAAAGTTCTCTTCTGCAGATTAAATCATAAAGGTAGAGGGTATTAGAATTTTAAATATTTATATTTCTCATTCAATCACAACTAAATTCACTCTATCTAGAAGCCACAATTTAAATGGATAATGTAATTTTTTTTACAATAGCAAGTTGGAATAAAAACAAGCAAAAATGAAATAAAAGTAACGACTTTCTATTTCTTACCTTTTTTTAATGTAAGGAGTAGAAAGTTCAGATAACTGTGTGAAACTGTAAGAAGTAGAAGTAAAAAGTAGGCTGAAAAATAATTACTCAAGTAAAGTACAGATGCCCAAAAATTTTACTTAAAGTGTATCTTACCCCCCTGTGAAAAGATAACTCCGCCCCAAGGCGAAATTTGAAAAATGCATCAAAGTGGGTAGGGGAGGGGGTGTGGGTAGGGGAGGGGGGGTTAGAGAGCGGAGGTGTGGCCAGGACGAGAGAACGTGACAGCCTCGGCTGAGCTCTGTCCGCCTCACAGGACAGAGGAGTGGAGCGCACCGCGAC